CGGCTGAGTCACGGCACCCGTGCCCTCTGCAGCGCGCTCTCTGGGGCCGCTGTGGGCGGGGGTCAAGCGGCGCTCAGGACTCTGGCTCAAGGGAGGCCCTGGTTCCCAGGACAGAGGGCAGGCCTGGGGGGCTCCATCCAACTCTGAGGCTCCATGGTCCTTGGGCCCAGCCTCTCTGGGGCCCCAGCGGAGACCCTGTCCCTTCCCTCCCTCCGCCCCTCCCCTGCCCTTGGGCCGAGGCCTGCCATAGAGGTTGGTCCCAGGCATCTCTCCGCCTCCCCTCCCCCGCACCCCTCCTGGCACATCCATGACCCTTGCTCATGCTCTCGCCACTGGGAACGTCCTTGTGCTAGCCTCGGCCAGCCTGAATCTCTGCACCCCTTTGTCCTTTGGGGTCAGTTCTCCCTGAGCCTGATCCACTCTATTCCCTCCTGGTCCCCCACCTCCTCTGGGGGCTGGGTCTACAGTTTGGAGCTGTGACCACCAGGTTCCCAGCACTGCCTGGGCAGCCAGTGGACCTGAGGGTGCGGGACACACAGCCGTCAGAGACAGAAGTCCTGTGTGGAGCGAGGGGCTTGGGGGTATGGGTGTCCTGCCGTACCCCCAGCTGGCCAGCTTGGCTCCAGCCTGGGAAGGGAAGGGACACCTCCCAGGTCCCAGGCCTGGGCCAGCTTGGGTTTCTCAAAGCCCTTGGGATTGTCCAGGCCAGGGCCCAGAGCAGGTGGGGGCCTGAGGCGGACACATCCCCTTGCCCAGTCAGTGCCCGGGCGGGACCCCTTGGGCTGCACCAGTCCCTGCCTGTTTATCTTTCAACATGCACTGCAGGAAACCGAGGCTGCAGTCAGGTGGGGTGGCCATCATCACCATGGCTGGCAGGATTCCCCTGGGCACCTGGCCTTGGCAGGGAGCCTGGGTTAGGTACACGCCCTGGCCAGGCACCTGGAACTGGCTGAGTGGAGTCCCATGGATCAGGCCTGCAGTCCTTGGCATTGGGTCACTGGGGACAGCAAAGCAGGCCCAAGGGAACAGGGATGTGGCGTGTGGCATGCATTACTATTAGCCCCCGGAGGTTGCTGTCAGGAAGGTCCCCACTGGGCCTGGGAGCAGAGGCTGGAATGGTGGCCCCTGTTCCAGTGGGGACAATGCTCAGGGAAGGCAGTGTGGCCTATGAGGGCACCTGGCAAGCAGGTGGGAGGTGTGCACTGTCCTGACCGCAAGAGTGGCTCCCAGCTGCTAGTTTGGACTGCCCCCCAGGACCTTTCTGGGTCCCCACCCTACAGGGCTCCCAGAGGCCCACTGGGCCACAGTGGAGGTCCTTACCCTGTGGCTGGAGCAGGTGGGGAACTGTTTCCCCCAGGGAGGCTGAGTCCTTGCCAGGCTTGTGATGTGGGGCTGGGGCTGGCTGGACACTGGGCACACTCCTACCAGGTCCCTGCTTTCCTGGGAAGGATCTTAGACATCAGAGCTGGACTCTTGGGGCCAGGCTTGGATGACAGAGGTTGGCCCTGCGTGCCATGCACCCTGCTGGGGCAGGGGTGCACCCTGGGCAGAGCCCAGGGTCTGGTGGGTGGGTACCAAGGACCTCCGTGCTGCTAGCAGACTCCTCCAAGCTCTTTGCCTCAGTTCCCCTGTCTGTGTGACCTACCTCCTCTTAGTTAGCTGGACGTGGGTCTGCCCTTGGGCTACAGGCTGTTCTTGGTGAAGGGACAGGCTCACTGTCATGAAGTCACTGGGATGGCAGGTGGCAGTGCCACCTTCGGATCTCACCTGTTCTCCCTCTGACACAGTAGGCGAGAGCTACAGGGAGGGGTCATGCCCAGAGAGGGCACCCAGGCCTCCAGGCGACGTGAAGGCACTGGGCTGGTCTTGAGGGACGGAGCTTGGACCACCTGGAGGCACCCATGTGGGGCACCCAGGGCGTGCCAGACCTGTGCTGCCGCCTGTAACCAGATGCTCCTGTGGCGCCTGCCGCCCGCCAGCCAGGACTCTCCTCCTCCTCCCAGTAGCTCGTGCGAGGCCGTTGCTATAGCAATGGGGAAGGCAGCTGGGCCTGTTGCTGCAGTTACAGCGCCCGTAGCAGGCCGGGTGTGGGCAGGGCTGGCGCCCTGCGCTGTGACCCCTGCCTCTGACATTGCCCCAGTCCGGCAGCCACCCTCGCCCTGGTGCCTGTTGGTGCCCACAGTGACTCGACGAGCCCCGGGCTCTATCCTGGCTCAGGGAGTGGGTAGAGGCTGGCACAGGCTGGGGCGGGCATGGGGCACCCACAGCATGATGTTCCCGGCCACAGAGCCCTATTGTCCAAGCACAGTAAACACAGCAGCCGCCCCCACCCCAGGGACCGGGGGCTCGGCCCGGACCACACAGCACACTGGGGGCTCTGAAGGGTTTTGGGATGGTGATGAGGACAAAGGATGCCTCCGAGTTGGGTGCTCGCCCTTGAGGGCAGGGCCCCTCTGTCCTGTGGGTCTCAGAGAGGGCTGGTCTGCCAAGGGCTCTCCTGAGAGTAGCTGGCCCAAGCTCCTCCTCCTCCCTGAGCTGGGGGCTGGGATACAAGAACCAGTGAAGTCCTTGGTTTTCAGGTGAAGTGAGCAAAGTGCTTCTTTCTCACTCCACGCAGGTCCCGCTAGGGCTCACCTTGGTGCCCAGCCTGGGCTAGCAGGAGCTGACATGGGGAAACTGAACTCCAAGGCCCAAGACTGGCTGCCCCGGGTCAGGGGAGGGAACAGGGCAGAAAGAGGTGCCTTTGGGCCCGGCGCAGTGGCTCACGCCTGTAATCCCAGCACTTTGGGAGGCCGAGGCAGGCGGATCACGAGATCAGGAGATCGAGACCATCCTGGCTAACATGGTGAAACCCCATCTCTACTAAAAATAGAAAAAATTAGCCGGGTGTGGTGCCACCTGTAGTCCCAGCTACTTGGGAGGCTGAGGCAGGAGAATGGTGTGAACTCGGGGGGCGGAGCTTGCAGTGAGCTGAGATTGCACCACTGCACTCCAACCTGGGCAACAGAGCAAGACTCCATCTCAAAACAAAACAAACAAACAAAAAAGGTGCCTTTGCCTCAGGGACTGGGGCTGTCAGACCCCTTACTGGGTCTTCTCCGAGGCTCAGGGCCCTGGGCTCAGGCCAGGCGTCTCTGAACCAGGCCTCCTCATCTCCCCAGGCCCCTGTGTTGGTGGGGAGGAAGGGGGAGGAAGGTGAACCTGGGGCAGTGTGAGAACTGTAGGTGGGGCCAGTGGTTCAGATGGTCCTCAAGATTTTGCCCAGGTAGCCCTGGAGGTAGGGAGGAAGAAGATGAGCTGGGATATACATGGGTCAGAGTAGACCACAAGCTGGCCAATTCGTCACGGTAGGCCCTGAGGCTCCTCAGAGGGCAGGTAGGCCCACTGTGGGCTGGGGACCAGAAACCTGATTTGCTGAGCCAGACAATCCTTACCCTCAGTACCCTGGAAGGGGCTCAGACCTTCAGTGGTCCCGAAGGGCCTGTGCTCACCTTCCTTGGCCCCAGGGAGCATGTGGTCCTGGCTGGGCTGGGCTGGGCCGGTCCTGTGGGAGGCTGGGGAGGGCCTGGGCGAGCACAGGTCTGTCCTGTCCCTCACTGGGCCCACCCTTTCCAGTGGGTCCTGGCCTTCGAGATCTTCATCCCCCTGGTGCTGTTCTTCATCCTGCTGGGGCTGCGGCAGAAGAAGCCTACCATCTCCGTGAAGGAAGGTGAGTGCGGCAGGAGGCCCCGGGCACAGCTGGGGGAGCGCGGAGGGGGAGCCCTCCCGGCACCTCGCACGCCTGCGCTGTGTGTGCACATCTGCACATGGGCGTCCTGTTCCCAGAGTCCCTGAGGTGTGGTGCCTGCTCCTCTGTGCGGTCCTGGGCCGCGCCTCCTGGCTGGGCTGTGGAGGTCGGGGCTGGCCTGTGGCCACGAATGATGATGCCAATGCCTGTTCCTGGTGATGTGGGCACTCACTGGTCTCCTCTGTTCTGTTTTGACCCCCCCACCCCCGCATGGTCTCTTGTCCTCGGCTGGCATGCAGTCTGTAAGTGAGCGGCCGCCTCCTCCTGGCTGGCCTGGGCAGCAGCTGCGGGGGGCCCACGGGCCGTCCTGGCTTGAGCGCCCTCCCCGCTTTCATTAACAGCCCTCCCAGGCCCCCTGCTGGCCTCAGGAACAGCTGGCTCCAGACGGGGGGTGGTGGGCAGTGAAGTGGGCTGTGGTAGGGAGTGAGAAGCCGGGCCACCTAAAACCACAACTGTTGCCTAGGTCAAGCTGAGGCAGCATCTCTCTGCCCGGCCTTGCCTTCTAGGGGTGGGGCGTCTCGGCGTCTGGGCGGAGTCTGGGCTGAGGCTTGGCTGGTCTGGGCTGGCCTGGGCGGAGGCTCGGCTGGGCTGGGCTGGCCTGGGCTGAGGATGGGCTGGCCTGGGCTGGGGCTGGAGCGGCCTGGCTACTCTTCCTTCATACTCCTTCAGGCTCCTGCACTCACTCTGCTAACCAGCTGGCCAGAGGTCAGAGGTCACTGCCCAGAGGGGGTCCTATGTCCTCCCCTGGTCTCTGTAGGCAGTGCCACAGCTGAAATGTTTTCGGGGGGAGAGTGCCAGGGCACGTGGGCCTGCACTGGCCAAAGGGAAAGGAATGCTCTGGGAGTTATGGCAGAAGGGGTGGTGAGTGGCTCTTTGACCTCTGACCTGCTGGAGTCGTTTGCCCCAGAATGCTTAGCCTGTAGCCCAGCTGGGGCCAGGGCTCTGTGCTGCCTCCTCCCTAACGCTGCTTCTCCTTCCTGACTTTCTCTAAATTTCTCCTCTCGGCCTCTGTCTCCTTCCCCTTCTGGATTCCTCTCTCTCTCTTTCCCCTTTCACCCCCGACCCTGCCCTCTCCTGTGGGTCTGCCAGCCTTCTACACAGCGGCGCCCCTGACGTCCGCCGGCATTCTGCCTGTCATGCAGTCGCTGTGCCCGGACGGCCAGCGGGACGAGTTCGGCTTCCTGCAGTACGCCAACTCCACGTGAGTGCCCACCCGCCCCTCGGAGTACCCACCCCTCCCCAGCCCATCCAGTGAGTGACATCCGCCCTGGTGCAGGGTCACGCAGCTGCTCGAGCGCCTGGACCGTGTGGTGGAGGAAGGCAACCTGTTCGACCCAGCGCGGCCCAGCCTGGGCTCAGAGCTCGAGGCCCTGCGCCAGCATCTGGAGGCCCTCAGTGCGGGCCCAGGCACCTCGGGGAGCCACGTGGACAGATCCACAGGTGTGCCCTGTGCAGGGAAGTTGGGGGACAGGGCTGCGGGCCTAGCTCTGCTGTCACTGGGCTGAAACCCACATCCACCCTGGGCCCCTCCACCTGCCCTGAGCTCCCAGCCATGCGCAGGCTGCAGTGGCAGAGCTGTGGTGTTGGGCTCGGCTCCGAGCCCACGTGGGGACACCTTGCCAAGGTGCAGCAGCCTCTCAGCCTCGCCTTCCTGCCTGTCCAGTGTCTTCCTTCTCTCTGGACTCGGTGGCCAGAGACCCGCAGGAGCTCTGGCGTTTCCTGACGCAAAACCTGTCGCTGCCCAATAGCACAGCCCAAGCCCTCCTGGCCGCCCGTGTGGACCCTCCCGAGGTGAGGCAAGGACAGCTCCCAGCCCTGGCCACTCCCTTCTGCCCCCGCCACGCCCCCTGGTTGCTGAGCCATCCTCCGGACTCTGTCTGAGCCACGCCCCCACCGTCTGAGCCACGCCCCACACCCCATCTGAGCCACGCCCCCACACCCCATCTGAGCCACGCCCCCACACCCCCATCTGAGCCACGCCCCCACACCCCCATCTGAGCCACGCCCCCACACCTCCCAGGTCTACCACCTGCTCTTTGGTCCCTCGTCTGCCCTGGATTCACAGTCCAGCCTCCACAAGGGTCAGGAGCCCTGGAGCCACCTAGGGAGCAATCCCCTGTTCCGGATGGAGGTTAGGGCATCCATGTGTGGGATGGGACTGGAGTGCTGCCTGCCTCTGGGGGTGCTTCTGCTCCGTGGGTGAGGAAAGGGCCCCCTTAGTGACTTGGAGCTCCTCCTGGGAGAGGGGGAGGGTCCCAGGGGTCTATGGCAGGCACAAGGGGTAGAGGCATGTCGTAGGACCCAGGCAGCCCCAGAGCCAGCCGGTGGGTGGGGTAGGTTGAAGCCTGAGGCCCTGGTGGTTGGGTACAAAGTCCTTGCTGTGTCTCCACTGATCCCTGTGCCCACCCCAGGAGCTGCTGCTGGCTCCTGCCCTCCTGGAACAGCTCACCTGCACGCCAGGCTCCGGGAAGCTGGGCCGAATCCTCACTGTGCCTGAGAGTCAGAAGGGGGCCCTGCAGGGCTACCAGGATGCTGTCTGCAGTGGGCAGGCTGCTGCACGTGCCAGGCGTTTCTCTGGGCTGGCCGATGAGCTCCGGAACCAGCTGGACATGGCCAAAGTCTCCCAGCAGGTGAGGCCCTGCCTGCCCACTGCCTGCTGCTTGCTGCCTGAGTTGAAAGAGGGGCTGGGGCTGCTTGGAGAGCTCGGGGCTCCTGGGCCCAGGCTGTGCGTGGGATGCTGCCTGTGGGTGGGTATCTAATGGCGCCATGGCTGGTGCCCCACCCCTGCTCACCATCCCAGCTCCTGTCCTGAGCTCCCGTTACCCAGGCTACAGACTCCCTCCCAGCATCCCCAGCTTGTGCCTCCCAGCTGCTGTCTCCCCGCTCCGCACCTGACCTATCACCCACCTGCAGTCCATCTCACCCCTCACTGCCCACATGCCTGTTTTCTCTCAGCTGGGCCTGGATGCCCCCAACGGCTCAGACTCCCCGCCACAGGCGCCATCCCCACGGAGGCTGCAGGCGCTTCTGGGGGACCTGCTGGATGCCCAGAAGGTTCTGCAGGATGTGGATGTCCTGTCGGCCCTGGCCCTGCTACTGCCCCAGGGTGCCTGCACTGGCCGGACCCCCGGACCCCCAGCCAGCGGTGCGGGTGGGGTGGCCAATGGCACTGGGGCAGGGACAGTCGTGGGCCCCAACGCCACCGCTGAGGAGGGTGCACCCTCTGCTGCAGCACCGGCCTCCCCAGACACGCTGCAGGGCCAGTGCTCAGCCTTCGTGCAGCTCTGGGCCGGCCTGCAGCCCATATTGTGTGGCAACAACCGGTAGGTGGGCAGCAGGGGAATGGGGGTGAGGAGGACAGCCAGGGGCAGGTCCTGAGTCCTGACTCTAGGCCCTGGCTCTGGAGGTCTCATTTGGCGCCCTGCCCTGTGCGCCGAAGTCCCGCCCCATCCCGATGCCCCTCCCACTCTCGCGGCCCCGCCCCCTAATGGCCCGGCCCCGCCTCCTGTCCCCTGCCCCAGCACCATTGAGCCCGAGGCGCTGCGGCGGGGCAACATGAGCTCCCTGGGCTTCACGAGCAAGGAACAGCGGAACCTGGGCCTCCTCGTGCACCTCATGACCAGCAACCCCAAAATCCTGTACGCGCCTGCGGGCTCTGAGGTCGACCGCGTCATCCTCAAGGTGCGCGGGTCTAGGACACTTGACAGGCAGAGTGGGAGGGGGTCTCTGCAGGCTTGGGACCCCTGGTCAGAGGGGGTCGGCAGAACTGACATGGGAGGGGTACCGGGGTGCAGCTTCGGGTACACAGGCTCTGCAGGTAGGGGACCAGGGGGCCGCTTTTCCTTTAGGGAGCTCCAGGGGCTGCTGTGGGAAGGCACTGGAGAGTCTGTTCCGGCAGGGTCCCCCGGCTGGGTGTGGCCGGTCCAGGGCAGTGCTGATGGAGGACGGGTGTGTCCGGAGACCTTCCAGAGTGTTCCGTGGGCGGGCAGCTGGGTAGTTTGCGTTCTGGGTGAGAGGTCCTGTCTGGAACAAGCAGAGGCCAGGGCTGGACGTTGGCCTGGGAGGGGAGGGCCTGTGGACGAGGCCGATCCTGGGTGTAGACGGGGGTCCCTAGGATAAGGGTGGGAGAAATGAGGGTGGAGCATGGGGTGCTTAAGGGACACATGGAGAGAGGTCCAGCAAAGGAGCTGGTGGGCACAGCTGGGCAGTTGGGGGTCCAGAGGCCATGCTGCCCTGGGAGTGGAGGGCAAAGCAAGTTTCACGTGAGCGCTGCAGAAAGGTGTGGAGAGCCCGGGCGTGGGACTCATGCTTGAAATCCCAGCACTTGGTGGGAGGCCATGGTGGGAGGATCGCTTGAGCTCAGGAGTTTGAGACAAGCCTGAGCGACATAGCGGAACCCCATCTCTACCAAAAATAAAAAAGTTAGCCAGGTGTGGTGGTGGGCACCTGTAATCCTAGGTACTTGGAGGGCTGAGGCGGGAGGATCCCTTGAGCCTGGGAGGTGGAGGCTGCAGTGAGCCGGGACTGCACCACTGCACTCCAGCGTGGGTGACTGAGACCCTGTCTCAGGGGAAAAAAAAAAAGGTGGGGAGGGTTGGTTGTTGGCAACAGGTCAGCCACTGGGGAGGTGAGTGGGGTGAGAGCCCCCAAGCCGGCGGGCGTCCGTCAGGAAACTCCATGCCCCTGCCTCACCCTCTGCAGGCCAATGAGACTTTTGCCTTTGTGGGCAACGTGACTCACTATGCCCAGGTCTGGCTCAACATCTCGGCCGAGATTCGCAGCTTCCTGGAGCAGGGCAGGCTGCAGCAACACCTGCACTGGCTACAGCAGGTGCCAAGGGTGCCCGCGAGGGAGGCAGCCGCAGGTGGCGCGGGGAGCCCCTCTCTGCCCGGCTCCGCAGGCCTGCAGGTCCCCCTCTGAGCTGCTCCTCTACCCCTAGTACGTAGCGGAGCTGCGGCTGCACCCCGAGGCACTGAACCTGTCGCTGGATGAGCTGCCGCCGGCCCTGAGACAGGACAACTTCTCGCTGCCCAGTGGCATGGCCCTCCTGCAGCAGCTGGATACCATTGACAACGCGGCCTGCGGCTGGATCCAGTTCATGTCCAAGGTGAGGTGGGGCCGCCAAGCCAACCCCCATACCTCCTGCCTCGTGCATGCCCAGGCGGGCTCCAGCGATGCCCCTCCCCCTAGGTGAGCGTGGACATCTTCAAGGGCTTCCCGGACGAGGAGAGCATTGTCAACTACACGCTCAACCAGGCCTACCAGGACAACGTCACTGTGTTTGCCAGTGAGCTGCCCTCCCCGCTCCGCCGCAGCCCCCCACAGACCTCTTCCTCCCCAGCCCAGCCCCACTTGTCCCCCTGTGCCCTCCCACTCCGTGGCCCCGCCCTGGCCTTGCCCCCTCACCCGCCACTTCCCTTCCCCACCC